CCAGAGAGCCCAAAAACTGCACCCAAAAACGGCACCCAGAGAGCCCAAAAATGGCATCCAGAGAGCCCAAAAACTGCACCCAAAAATGGAACCCAGAGAGCCCAAAAACAGCACCCAAAAATGGAACCCAGAGAGCCCAAAAACAGCACCCAAAAATGGAACCCAGAGAGCCCAAAAACTGCACCCAAAAATGGCACCCAGAGAGCCAAAGACGGCACCCAGAGAGCCAAAAACGGCACCCAAAAACAGCACCCAGATAGCCCAAAAGCTGCACCCAAAAATGGCACCCAGAGAGCCCAAAAACGGCACCCAGAGAGCCAAAGACGGCACCCAAAAATGGCACCCAGAGAGCCCAAAAATGGCACCCAAAAATGGCACCCAGAGAGCCCAAAAACGGCACCCAGAGAGCCAAAAACGGCACCCAAAAACGGCACCCAGAGAGCCCAAAAGCTGCACCCAAAAATGGCACCCAGAGAGACCAAAAACGTCCCCCAGAGAGCGGCCGGGGGGCGCGGGGACGCCCGGGAGCCGAGCCCTGCAAGGCTGGGGAGAACGGGGGGTCAGCATCCCAAAAACGGGACATGGAACCCCAAAAACGGCACCCAGAGAGCCAAAAACAGCACCCAAAAATGGCACCCAGAGAGCCCAAAAATGGCACCCAGAGAGCCCAAAAACTGCACCCAAAAATGGCACCCAGAGAGCCCAAAAACAGCACCCAGAGAGCCCAAAAACGGCACCCAAAAACAGCACCCAGAGAGCCCAAAAATGGGAGATTGAACCCATAAATGGGACATGGAACCCCAAAAATGGGACATGGAATCCCAGAAATGACACATGGAAACCCAAAAACTACATGGAAACCGCAAAACCAGGATGTGGAAACCCAAAAATGGGAGACGGAAACCCAAAACTGGCACCCAAACAGCACCAACAGCCACGGCCGGGGTGCGCCGGGACCCCCCCCGAGGGCACACCCTGAGAATCTGGGGGAGAACAGGGGGGTCAGCACCCCAAAACGGGACACGGAGACCCCCAGAACCATCGGCCAGAAGGTCCCAACAGCTCCCAGGTGTCCCCAGATGTCCCCAGAGCGTCGCTGGCCCACTCACGCGTCTCCTGGTCGGGGGGCTCGATGTTGTAGCCGTAGCCCAGCAGGGTCCGCACGGCCTGGCACAGGCTCTCGCGGTTGGTGGCCTTGGTCCCCTCGTCCAGCAGGTTGTAGGGGACCAGCCGCGGGTTCCGCTTGTTCTTGATGTCCTGGGGACGCGGGGACAGCGGGGTCGGGGCGTGGGGACATGGGGACACAAGGTTCGGGGTGTGGGGACGTGGGGCTCAGGGGTGTGGGGACACGGGGACACTGAGCTCGGGGGTGTGGGGACACCCCCAAAGGTGTGGGGACATGGGGACAGTGGGTTCGGGGTGTGGGGACATGGGGACACAAGGTTCAGGGCGTGGGGACATGGGGACAGCGGGGTCAGGGTGTGGGGACACCCCCAAACGTGTGGGGACACGGGGACAGCAGGTTCAGGAGATTGGGGACACAGGGACACCGAGCTTGGAGGTGTGGGGACATCCCCAGAGGTGTGGGGACACAGGGACAGCGGGGTTGGGGTGTGGGGACATGGGGACACTGGGTTTGGGGCGTGGGGACATGGGGACAGTGGGTTCGGGGTGTGGGGACATGGTGACACAAGGTTCGGGGTGTGGGGACACAGGGCTCAGGGGATTGGGGACACGGGGACACTGAGCTTGGGGGTGTGGGGACACCCCCAAAGGTGTGGGGACATGGAGACAGTGGTTTTGGGGCGTGGGGACATGGGGACACAAGGTTCAGGGCGTGGGGACATGGGGACAGCGGGGTTAGGGTGTGGGGACACCCCCAAATGTGTGGGGACACAGGGACAGCAGGTTCAGGAGATTGGGGACACAGGGACACCGAGCTTGGAGGTGTGGGGACATCCCCAGAGGTGTGGGGACATGGGGACAGCAGGGTTGGGGTGTGGGGACACCTCCAGTGGTGTAGGGACACCTCCAGAGGTGTGGGGACACAGGGACAGCAGGTTCAGGAGATTGGGGACACAGGGACACCGAGCTTGGAGGTGTGGGGACATCCCCAGAGGCGTGGGGACACCTCCAGAGGTGTGGGGACACGGGGACAGCAGGGTTGGGGTGTGAGGACACCTCCAGAGGTGTGGGGACACGGGGACAGCAGAATTGGGGTGTGGGGACACCTCCAGAGGTGTGGGGACATGGGGACAGTGGGCTCAGGGGATTGGGGACACGGGGACAGCAGGGTTGGGGTGTGGGGACACCTCCAGAGGTGTGGGGACACCTCCAGAGGTGTGGGGACACGGGGACAGTGGGCTCAGGGGATTGGGGACACGGGGACAGTGAGCTGGGGCTGTGGGGACACGGGGACACCACCACAGGGGGTGTGGGGACACGGGGACACCCCCAGAGGTGTGGGGACATGGGGACACGGCCATGGGGACACAGGGCAAGGACAAGAGGAGTTTTTGGGGAGGCCAGGGGTGGGTGGGGGTCCCTCTGGGGGATTGGGGGGCTCCCAGCGGGGTTTGGGGTCCCCACCTGGGTGGTGCTGTAGGTCCAGCCCTGCTGGACCCTGTCCCGGGCCCAGACGTTGTGGCCGTTCTCGGCCAGGCGATCCACCAGGGTCAGCTGGGCCGGCGTGAGGCGCACGTGCGACAGGTCCAGCGGCGCCGGCTTGTACCCGTTGGACATGGTGTACCTGGGGAGGGGACACCTGTGGGACCACCCC